CACGACTTGACCGACGAGAACTTCCAGCAGAGCTCCTAAGGATACCACTTGGACAACGAAGACAACAAGCTGGGCTAAGAGGGCCACGCCCAGAGAAACCAGGCCCCCGACCGAGCAACGAGCGCATCCTGCTGAGCTCGAGTGGGCTGTCCACAACTTCTTCTACAGTCGGAGCCGCAGGCTTTGGCTCAAGAACTACGGCTTGCAGGGGGAGCACACGCAAACACGTCCCCAGCAGCTTTTGGAGCAGCAGTGGCAAGACGTGAAGAGTCAAATAAGCAAGGGCCGAATCCAGAACACCTACGTTGCGATATAGGAGATGGCTGTTGGGAATTTCGGCAACGACGAGGCGGACGGGTACCGCCGCAGCCGGGTGCCCAAGGAAGCCAATCGACCGATCAACGCAGGTGATACTGTCGAGGCGAAGCTCGGCAATAAGTACGTGGAATGCAGATCGACGCCCTGCAGACTACGCTAGGCAGAGCTACAAGTCAGCGGAAACCACAGAGATGAAGCCACTTATACAGCATGTTGTCGGAATAACATCAATGGCCGGCACAATCTGTCCCAGAGGCTAGGGTAGTACAAGTACGACGCTACTGACAAGATGCCACGTCTGCATCGGTACATCGTGAGCGGCCCGTCCGCTCCTCCCCCATCCTCTCCCCCTCTTGGGCCGCTGGGTAGAGGATGGTAGGGCCTCCCTCCTCCCCTTCCCCCCTCCTGAAACGGCCGGCCCCCGCGCGCCAGCGCGGCAGGTGGAGCGGGGACGGGAGACGCCGCTGCGAGAGGGGGCGCGGGCCTCTTCCTGAGGCGCAGCAGCCCTCCGGCCTTCTCGGGAGGTCTCCGCGCCCTCTCCGGACCCCTGCCGCCTTCGCTCCTCCCTCGGCGCGCCGCCGGTTCTGGGGCGGCGAGAGGGCCCGCCCCATCGTCAGACGCTGGTTTTGGGGGGCCCTTCCTGGAGCCCGCCTGGCGGTTCTGTTCGACCGCAGTTTGACTCTAGTTCGATTCTGCTTCGACCCTGGCTGGATTCGATATCGACCCGAGTCGGCGGACGATCAACGCAGCGTCGACGCGAGAGTGGAGCGAGTGGCTCCAGGAGTGTCTCCAGAGCGAGCATCTAAGCCTCCTTCCCCCCTGGGGTCCCTCCCCCATCGGTGCCGGCGAACAAGCGCCGCGTCTGCGCCTTGGTCCCGCGTGGGAACGTCAAGGACCGCAGCCGCCCACGGCGACATCATCGTACCCATCGTAATTACTTGACGCCGTCGTCGTCGTCGTCACCTTCGTACTTGACGTCGTCGTCGTCATCGCTGTTGTTGCCTTTCAGGGGCAGTTGCGGGCGGATGGCGCCTCCTTCCACATAAAATTCCTCCCTCTGGCCCTCGCCGGCTTCCCTCTTCCTGGGCACCCGACGTTATGATGTTTCTTGATGGTTCTTTCACGAGGGCCCCACCCACCCCTCGACACATTCTACAAGCTTCAAGCATCAAGCACGTACGCATACGTGTGATTGGCATCACCCACTTTCTGCGAGGGATCTTGAGGACGCGCTGAGTTTCGCAGGGTGCATCCCTAGGGTTGCCCTCGCCTTGGCCTTGTCGACCTTGGCGGTAGGGATGAGCTCGAGGCTGGTGTCACTCCTGGGTGCCAGCGTTCCGTCATGAGCCGCTTTCGTTGGCGCCTGGCCCACCCGCTTGCACCGGGCGAGGCACCCAGAGCTCTCGACCCCATCTCCAGGGACGGGCTTTCCGCCGAGGATCGCGTGCTGCTGTTCGGCCCAGGAGTGAAGAAACGGCGCCCAAGAGGGCGAACATTTGGGAGAATTGCAGTCTCTCGTGTTGCTCGCTGCGATGGATGTCGGACACCAGTCGACGGCGGATGACGGATGCTGGACGGCGGACGACGGCAACGACGATGTATGATGACCGAGGGACGACGACGAACACGGAAGACGACGACGAGCGACGTTGACGACGACGATGTCAGCGGCGGCAACGACCAATTGAACATTAGGCGACGGACGACGACGGACGGTTGTCTACGGCGGATGACGGCGACGACACCCGACGACAGCGTCGACGACGGACGACGACGACGACGACGACGACGACGACGACGACGACGACGACGACGACGACGGCGACGGCGACGACGACGATGACTGCGTTCGACGGAGTACGGACGATGGCCGGTGCCTCCAGCAGGAGGATGCGGACGAGAAGCGCGCCAAGGCCACCGGCACGCCCACTGGGGAGTGCCACGCATCAGGCGCGCGCGCGTGCCCTGCGCGGCGGAGGGTCGAGCAGGATCGACGAGGAGGAGGAGGAGGAGGAGGAGGAGGAGGAGGAGGATTATGATCGAGGAGGACGACGGGGAGGACGAGGAGGAGGAGGACTAGTGTCCCATAGATTTCGTTGTTTTTTTGCTTACCTCCCAGTCTCCACGTCCCTGATCTTCCTGCCTGTGCGTTTCCTTCTCGTTCTCTTGCCTGAGCTCGCTCCCGCCGCACGGACACGTTCTCTGGCGCTCTGGCCTCCTTTTTGATCTCCTAGGCCTTTGGTTTCATCCGCGGGGAGGACAGACACTTGGCCTTCGGCTACGTGCGAGGAACATCGACGAGTTGGGGGGATCGATAACTGAGGATGGCAAGGATGAGTTTAGTGTGACATTCTCATCCCCTGATGCGCGCAGGCCTACTCCTCGTCGAGCAGTGGCGTCAGGGAATCGACCATCGCTTCCTTTAAGTTTCGTGTGCAGTCCTCGCTGTTTCCTCCGCCACTTGTCCATCGCAGTCCTGTGTCGAATCATCGACGCTGGAGGTGTATACTGCTTGGAGCCATCCGAGCACGATGGCGCCAGGAGAGAGTGGAATTTTGCTGCATCCTTCGAGACGACGGCCCTGAGCGCTCCCGAACTTCCAGATTCGGGAGGTCTGGCGGCAGCCACTTCCATTCCCGTTGTATCGAGGCGCGGCCAAGGGGGCAGCATAGTGCTTGCCAGCTTGCCAACGGTACCGCTGACTGAGAGCACAACATCAAAACCCTCTGTCTCCGTTGTGCTGGGACGAAGAGTCAGCAGGGCCCCTTCTCACGCTGCAGCGACAGCTGGGTCATCATGCACCGCCTTTTTGAGAAAGTCAAGAGTCTTGGAGAAGTTATGAATCCGAGAGGGTTCTGGCGGTAACCAGCAGAGCGTGCTACGCATCTTTTTAGTACATATCCACATCCATATCCATTGATACATACGGTCGGGAACTTCTGGATAGCATGTCGTTACGCCGGTTCTGGCCCACCAGGCTTCAACGCGACACGCTAACCGGCACCCCCGGATAATCATTGGGCCCCCCCTGACCCCTGAGAGTTGATTTTCCCCAGCCGATGCAGATTTGGTCAGGGAAGAGAGGTGGCCAGGCCGAACTTAAGTTTCGCGGGAAAAGTTAGCTGCTTTCTTCTTATGTGAGGTAGCAATGATTCCTAAGGATTCCGATTGATTTCCTCCGGAATCCTATGGATGTATTGCGGAATCTTGTGAGTTTCCGACGGAGTCTTATATATTGCAGAAAGATTGTGAGGATTTTTCAGGAATTCTTTGCATTTCTTCAGGCGTCCTCTTCCTCTTCCTCCTCTTCCTCCTCCTCCTTCGGCCCGAACATTTATCACGTGTTTTTTTGCTGTATCGCCGCCTGCGAGCCGCCATGGACATCTTGCCATTGATCACGAAGAAAAGAAGTGAGCTTCACAAATAAAAAACTAGGTCCCGAATCCAAGCTCTTCTTTGGAAAGCTGGTCCTGGGGTTTCTCGTCCTCCTCCTCCTCCAGGGGCCGCAAATGATTTATTTAGCACCTCCGTGCCTCGTCATCCCTGCCGTGCCACGTTGGCATCTTGACCAGGGGTGACTGGCCTAGCGTTCCCGTGTGTGCTCAAGGCCCCCTGGTGTGCTCAAGGCCCCCTGATTTTTACTACCAGGCTCTGCGGTGCAGGTGAGGTTGAGAGATCGGCACTCGGCATCGATGCAGGTTCAGTCAGTCAGTCAGTCCCATCCTCCCTCCAGGGACGCTTGCTCCTCCTCCTCCTCCTCCTCCTCCTTCTCCTCTTCCTATGAATGTCCTAAGGATTCGTATCGATGTTCGATGGATATCCTAAGGGATCCTATGGATATCATAAGGGATCCTATGGATTTCCTCCGGAAGCTTATGGATGTCCTAAGGAATCTCATGGATTTCCTAAGAAATCTCATGGATATCCTGAGGAATCCAATGGATTACCTAAGGATCCATGCCGATTCCTTAAGGAACCCGATGGATTCCTAAGAAATCCCATGGATTTCCTCAGGAATCCTTTGGGTATCCTAAGGAATCCTATTAATTTCTAAAGGAATCGAATGGTTTTCCATTGGATTCCTTCGGATCTCCTAAGGAATCCGATGCTTTTTCTAAGGGATTTCCGCGTGCATCCCATGGATGTGCTCAGGAATCCTCAGGATTTCCGAAGGAATCTTATGTATTTCGGAGGGTAATTCCGATGGAGATTAAGGATTATCATGAACGTTCAGGATCATCTTGATGATGATCATCATCATCATCATCACCACCACCACCACCACCATCATCATCATCATCATCATCATCAGCGTCAGCGTCAGCGTCATCGTCTTCATCATCATACTGCGATCTCCGGGAAACCGTTTACTATCCCTCCTGGGCCCCGAACTTTCTTATCCCCAGGGGATTGATATCTGCAGGTAGTGGTTATCCCCTCCCCAGTCCCCAGCGTCCCGAGCCTTAGCGAGCTTCCCGCCCGGCGGAGCGGAGCGACGCGCTATCCGCTTGCAGGGCATAGCGTTTTGCCGGGGCCGCCGTGGCGACACGCTAAGCAAATTTTCCCGACCGTATACACTTCTACATGGCACTCCGCAGTTGCGGATACGAGTGAGGGACTGGTTGCGGGTTGGGTCGCGGGTGGGTCGTGGCTGGGTCGCGGGGTTGGCCGTGGGTGGGACGACGACGACAACAATCATGTAACCCCCATGCGCAATGTTTCAACATGCCACGTGTATCCATCATGATACCACCCCCGCTTGGAAAATCTATAAGACAAGGGGGGGCGATATTCTCACACCCAGGTCTCCCGCCCAAGGAGGTCGAGCCGACACCTTTCCCGAGGCACATTCTCGTTGTCAGCTCGCACGGCACATAACAAACAGTGCGACTTTGGGGGAGCGGTCATAATGCAAAACACGAAGGCTTCGAGCCCCAGGAGAGGGGCAACATGTATTCACATACGTGAAATATTGAGGATTCGACCGTCAGTCGAAGGGCATCCATATGTATATCTTATACATATATATACATATATATATATATATATATATATATACAGAAAAACGGATTCGGCCGCAATAGAGCGGCTTTCTATGGGAACATACGCAAACACACAGGATTCGAGCCCCAGGAGAGGGGCAATGTATCGAAACATGCGTAAATCACAACATATTCATGGCGATGGATCCATCCTTGTGCAGTCAGGTGTGGCACAGAGCACGGGTCTCTCTTCATGCATTGCACGCCGCGGGGCAATTCGGAAATATTGCTGCTGCGGAGCACGCGTGCACGGGCGCGCTGAACCCCTTGTGGGGCGCGATCCGCGTGAAAGGTGCGCCGAATGATTCGGATGTCCCCGCGCGAACAAGCCCACTGAGGCCGCAGGTGGGCCTCCTCCAGGCACGACCTGTGCGAGGTACGTTCTGACATGGTCGGGGGGACGCCATGCGAATCTGCCCAGTGGTGCCATAGGTAAAGCTCCTTCTGGGGCATGATTCGCGTGACGGTTGTGCCGACATGGGCGGAGGGGCGTTGTGCTATCTTTGTCTTCGGGCATCTAAGTGGTGCTCATTGTGGGCACGATCCGCTTTGGGGGGTGTGCCCCAATGGCCAGGTGGGGCGGCGCAGTGTGAACCCTCCCTTTGGGGCCTCAGGTGGAGATCCCTGTGTGCCACGATCTGTGTGAGAGGTGTGCCAAAGTAGGCGGGGGGGAGGGATGCGAGTCTTGTCTTTGGGGCCGTCCGTGGAGTTGTTTGCGGGTCACAAGCTTTATGAGAGGTTGTGCCGAAGTGGGTTGAGTTGGTGCCACAAATTCAGTTATCCGTGGGGCACGATCCGCTCGAGGGCCCTGCCATTCTGCGAGCCTCGTCTCTGTGGTCGCAGGTGGAGCTCCCTGTGGGGCGCGATCCCACTGCTGGGGTGTTCCGCCATTTGGCGGGGGGACAGTACGCCAACCCTGTCTCTGGGGCCGCAGGCGAAGCTCCCTGCGGGCACGCTCTGTGCGACAGTAGACGTCCTCCGATGCCGAGCAGTTGGGACTACCAATCGAGCAGGCCAGAACCAAAGCGCGCGAGAAGCGGGCGCGCAGTATGTGTATATACATATATTGCGAAGGCCTTACGGCCGATGCCGCCGACCCTGGAGACGACCTTGTCGTCTGGGCGCGCCAGCCCTCGCGGATCGGACGGTGGCTGCGAGGCGCTGTCGGACGTCGGAGGCGTTGAAAGCGCGCTTGCCGCGCTCGGGAAAGTGTCCCTCCTCCGTTCTGTGATGGGGAGGAGGAGGAACAGGCGGAGGAGGAGGACAAGGTGGAAGAGGAGGGAATACCCGGTTGTTTTTTAACTTCCTAGTTTGTGTTGTAGCTTCCTAGGAGAGTTTTTGGGGCCCCTCGGGAGCCTCCTGGGGCCTCTGTGGGCTTCCTGGAGGGCAGGCCAGAACCAAAGCGCGCGAGAAGCGTGCGCGCAGTATGTGTATATATATATATATATATATATATATATATAATATATATATATATATATATATATATATATATATGTATATATACACATACACGTGCGCATGCGCACACGCATACGCACACACAGATGGCGATGCGCGCACACACATGCCATCATAAGCGAGCACAGCACGGTCCTCGACCCTCGACCTCGTCGTCCAGCGCGCTGCGAACGCGAGGGCCTTGCGCCCGGCGGTGCCCCAGGGCGCGCGCAGGGCGTGCGCCGCCCGCAGCGGCGCGCCTTCGCGCGCCCTCGCGCCCCTCGCGCCTCACGCGTGCGAACCCCATCGGGGCCCCCGCGCGCGCGCGTTCGCGCCGTCGGCGGAAGCGCCCCGCGCGCCCGCGCCCCTCGGGCGAGAGGCGCCGGCGGCATCGACGTGGTGTCGCGGAAGTTCGCGGACGGCGTCCCCGAGGCGGGGCGCCAGCGGGGGGGTCTGAGGCCCACGATTTGCCAAGCCGCTTGCGCCCCCAGACGCTGCCGAATCTCAGGTTAGGGGTTTTGCACGGGTGCCGTGGTGCTTTCCCGATGAGCCAGAGAGTCCCCCCAGTCGAGATGGGCAGGCCCGGCGGCGACTTCGGGCGTTGGTCTGGCCTGGTGGGTAGTCAGGGGTTGCCCAGCACTGGCTCCGGCCAGCAAGAGTCAGTGAGCACAAAAGAACCAGTAAGCCGAATAGCGCGACGAAGACGTGGCCTCATTGAGGTCCCCGTCTTCGCGTCAAGGATGATCGTTTGGTCTGATACACTCGCAGAAAAGACCCCCTATCCCTACTGTTTTGCCCTCCTCACTTAGGTCCCCTCCCAAAGTGTTAGTGGTCCTTGTTTAGTTAATCAAAGAAGGGGGCCAAGAGGTTCGAGGTCTTAGGTTCGATCGGAAGGATCCCTGCCTCCGGGAGCCGCTGCCAGGCCCCAGGGTCCTCAAGAGCAGATCCGGGACGACAAAATGGCACCAGGGGGACCCCTGAAGGGGGCGATGGGACCGATTTGGAGCCGATCACCCCTCTGGATCGATGTTCTTGGGCCCCATCTGGGAGACCGCTTTCTACCCCCTGGTGATAACTGGCGTGACCGCTTGAGGGGGGGGGAAGGGGGGGAGGGGGGAGGGGGCCAGTCATCTCGCGATTCGCGCCGGCGCCGTCTGGGCATGCACACGAACAGGTCCTCCCCAAACTGCGCCGGCGCGGATCGTGACGTGACGTGACCACGGGGCGAGGAGGGAGGGGGGCGGGGGGCCAGTCACGGGCGCTCTCGCGACCCAGAAGCCCGACGTCATGATTTTTTCATGACGCGACCCCCAGAGGTCTGGACCCATTCCCCGGGACCGGTTCTTCATCCTGAGTCGTTTTTTGACGGTCCCGAGGCCCGGCGAGGGCCCCTGGAGGCCGAAAATGGCGAAAAACCTACCGTCGTGATTTTTTCATGACCCGAGGGGGTCTGGGGTCCTCGCGACCAGCGCAGAGTCGCTCCACTTCGGACCCCTTGGCCGCCTCCGAAGCCCGAGGGCGCCGACTTCGCGCTGCGGGCGCGGCTCGAGGCGAGCGGGCTGGAGACGGAGGAGCGGCCGCCCCTGGGGGGGGGCGGATCGTCTGCACGGGCGGCCACGCGTGGGCCCTGTAACCCCAGGAAGCATTTAAGAACCCCCCCGGCGATATCGTAGCACCGCATTTTTTATTCGATATTCCGAGGGGCCGGAATAACCGAACGATAGTTGTAGCACCCGGACACAAGGAGGGCTCCTGGTGCCAGGTAACGCTTCCAGGGTGCGGAAGGGTTATCGATTTGCCGGAGGGGGGGGGTTCTTAAATGCTTCCTGGGGTTATTTGTGCTGCCCCCCCTCTCTCAGGAGGGGAAGAAATCAATGAATCGTCGACTCCCAGGAAAACATGCAAAAATATGGGAAGGGGGGGGGGAGACAAACACCCAGAAAATATGGGAAAATATAGGGTATCTTTTTATTTGTGTGTACATTTATTTGTGTGTCCTGGGGCCCTTTCACTGTACTTGTGCTGCCCCCCTCTCTCTATGCCAGTTTTTCGAGCTATGGGTCGATCTGTGAGGGCCCCAGGGCCCGAAGCCGGCCGAATCAGCAGCACAGATGGCGACGCCCGAGTCTCGAGGATAAGCGTACACTGGGGGCCACAAGAAAAACCCAGCTTCCCTCCAGGATGCCCTGGTCGGGGGCGGAAAAGAGGAGGGTGATGACTAGGGGGGGTGGATATCATGGCGGGGGCCATGATTTTTCCCCAGATTTCATGGCGCCTCTTCTTCTTTCATTACGTCCCAGGCCCCCCCGCTGGGCCGCGCACATGCCGCCGGTCATGATTTGCATCCCCCCCTCTTGGACACCCCCCTCTTGGCCGCTCCCGAGACAAGAAAAAACCCTGATTCCCTCCAGGATGCCCTGGGTTTCTTGGGCTTCGATGGCTCTGCGATGGGAAGCGTGACGTCCACACGCCAAACATTCATTGGCCGTCTTGGGGTCTCAGGGTGGGGTTTCTCGTGGCAGGTCTCTTGTGGACTGGCCTCCACTGTACTTCGGAGGTCCGCCCGGATTTGTTGTACCCGCGCTGGGCCCCCAGGGGCTGCGCCGGAGGCGCCGCCATGGGCTCCCGCGCAGATCAAGAAGTCCGCGCGAAGTTCCGAACGTTTATGCTGATGTGCCAGAGAGGGGGGCCCAGCGCCGATCCAGGAATTCCACACGGAGCTGCGAAAGTTCGTGTGTTTGTGCTGTGTGTGTCCTCGCCAGCGCAGCGATCTTGCCTAGTTGCCGACGAAAATAAGTGCATGCCGTTTGTTACTCCTCCACTGTGGGCCCTGCCCCTGCTGCCGGTCGATCTGGCCCAGCAGGGGCTCAACGGTCGCAGGCGATCTTTCTCTCCCCCCACCCCCGGCTTTTCGGCTTTTCTCGGTCAGCAGAGGAGGATACCTTGGGATATGCCCCTCTGGGGGTATTCGGACGCACTCCCATCGAGGATGGACGCCCCCCCCCCGTCGTATATCCCAGGGTTGGGCCGCGAATTTCTGGTCCATTCGAAAGTCCCCCAAAGCCTGGGAGAGGGGTCGACATACCCGCTGGTAAAGGTTGGGGTGTGCTTCGCTCGTGCCCGCTGGGGAGCCCCTGTTGGTGCAAGGCGATGGGCAGCAGGGGTAAGGCTCACGCAGTGCTGCCTAGGGTTAAGTCGGGCATGTCCCTCTACGGGAGGGGCATTCAAGACGAGTGGAAGCATAGTCTGGTGACGTTTTTTTGTGTTGTCTTTTATATTTATTTTGGTGGTTGACACTTTCCCATTTCTCTCGCACAATCCGCCTGTAGGAGGACATGCCCGACCTAAGCCTAGGGGGAGCGAGGGGCGAGTCAGCACGAAGGGAAGGGGGTCCTTGGGGCTTTGGGGCGCCATTGGGGTATTGGTGGAGCTGCTGCCCCTTCGAGAGCCCCCGGGAGGGCTCCTGTCGCTGAGGCTGGATTCTCCCAGAAACGGTGGTCAGCATGCAGATCGGGGTGGATCTTCGCAAGGACGAGAGGCTGGTCCAGAGGAAGCGCGGGGCGGCAGGACCCGTTTCCAATGGGACCCCATCCAGTACAAGGTTATTTAGTGGTCTTATTTCAAGCCCACCTGTGCCAGCGGGCTGCGCTCTGGTCCCAGCCAGGATCGTCATTGATACAATTCGTGCCCCCGTGCCCGTCATGGCCCAAGAGAGTGCTTCAAATGCTGAATGGCGAGCAAGTGCCAGCGCCGAGGAGCAGTGCATAGAGGCTATACGGGGAGGTGGGCTGCAGTACGCCTTAGAACACAGTGAGCAGCAGTGAAAAGGACTCGCAGGGGCCTCCTCCTCGTGGCCGGGATCGTGGGCTGCCCATGAGACGGGTGGCGCGCACCGCTCCATGTCACCTGCGTCACAACGTGTACTGTCAGCTCGTGCATGTCTGATGCCCCGCTCGCTCGGTCGGGGAATAACTAAGCCCCACGGGCCGCAGCACTGCTGTTTTGATCGCGCGCGCCAGGGGATGGCGCGCGACCCCACCACAGATGTGTGGCAACCGCGGTCCGCGCCCGAGCAGGAGCCGGGCGACCGACGAGGCAGCGGAGGGTGAGGCGAGTCCCGGGGCTCCCGGGCCATCAGCGCCAAGCTTCTCGCTGGCCGGCTGCGACGCTCCAGGTGGGAGCCGGCGCCAGCGATTCCCCCCTCTGCGGGCAATATTTATATCCATATCCAGTGCGTCTTGGACTTTCTTGGAAGGGGCGCCGCAAGGCCGAGACGCACTGGATATGGATAAAAATTGAGCCTTTTGGAGGCAGATTATAATCCATATCCAGTGCGCCTCATGTTTCTTGGGAAGGGAGTCCGAAACTCCAAGACGCAGTGGATGTGGACAAAGACATTGCCCGCACCCTCCCACCTCTCCCGTCCTCCTCTCCCGCCTGCACGCCGATCCTGGGCCCACGGTGGGTCCGGCCAGCATCGTTGAGGTGGCACGGTGGTCAGTCGGCGTCGCCAGGCCCAGTGGTCGGCTCCGCGCGAGAGTGGCCCCTCGCCGGAGCCATCTTGGCTCAAGCAGTCTTGGCTGAAGCCATGTGGCCCAGCAGTTTGGCCTCGTGCTCGGGTCCTCCGCCAGCTGCCGCGCAGAAGCTGGACGCGGAGCGGGCGTGTCCTAGCCACGAGGAGGGCCAGTTACGGAAGGACCAACTGGTGGCGGCAGAGCTCAACCGGCAGTTCGAGCAGGGGCTCATCGTGAAGCTTGTCTCCTCTCCGCCGGGCGGGACGGACGGGACAGGGTTCGACAAGAACGATGGGCCCATTTTCCATGACCATAGGTAGGAGAGGGAGGAGGAGAATGAGGAGGAGGAGGAGGAGGAGGAGGAGGAGGAGGAGGAGGACGAAGAGGACGAGGAGGAGGACGAGGAGGACGAGGAGGACAAGAGGGAGGGGGAGGACGAGGAGGACGAGGAGGAGGAGGAGGAGGAGGAGGAGGAGGACCTCCTTATCCTCCCTTCTCCCCCGTCCTACACAGGGCAGCGGTGGTGGAACATTGGCCCATCAAAGAAGTTCTCGCAGCTCCTGGGGCTTCGGCACGGGCGTCAGCCCGAGGAGGAGGGCTACCGCCCGGCGGGCTGGAGCCTCCAGGAGTGGCCGAGGTGCCGGGACCACGTCTCCGGCAGGGGCGTTGCCGGCAACTGGTTCACAGGGAGGGAGGAGACACGCTGGCCATGATTTACGATGTTCCAACCTACTTCAGCCTTGACACTGTTTCGACACCGTTTCGACACTGTTTCGGCACTTTCCCGGGTGCTCGAAATGATTTCCGGGATGCGGTCTTTGAGTACGATGGGGGCAGCATAAGCCCTGACCAAGATGTCGAGGGAGCTCGTCGGCGCCCATCTTTGTCATGCTCCCAGTCGACCGTCGCCGAGTCGCGAGGATGATTCACACGACTCGACGGTCTCCAGGATCAGCACCGACGTTTCCGCGTTCCGTCTAAGTTATGGTTATGGCTTTCTCTCCTTCCGCCACATCTGCCTCCTTCATCAATGCGGACCTGGCGGGCCCGTACCAGCCCCGAGCGGGCGACGATCGCGACGCGCGCGAGAGCGGCACGTCGCTCTACGGCTGCAACCGCTACGCCTGCGGCAGGACGCCGGCGTCCCACAAGGTGCTGGCAGTTTTCCAGCCCAACCCCATCCCGAAGAAGATGCACGACGGCACGGGCAGCAACTGCCGGGGCTCCGCGCGGATCTCCCGGGCTCGGCGCCGGGCGCCCCCTGGCGGCGCTTCTGGCGCCGCCCCTGGCGCGCCCCGCACGCCACGGAGGGGTTCCAGCGCCGACCCGCGAGCTCCGCGCGGACCTCCGAGAGTTTGCGTCTGTGGGGTGCCTTCCTCCTCGGCAATTGTGGGGTGCGGGTTCGTCGAGGACGCCGGGACCAACCAGGCGGGCGAGTTCACCGGATGCGCCACGGACTGGAGGGGTGCGGCCGGTGACTGGGAGCCTTCCAGGTGCCTCGGCACGCCCGACTGCGGCTTCAAGCTCCACGGGGCCGACTTCGGCGGCCTGGGCACGGGCCGCTGGCGGGTGGACAAGAGGTTCCTCCCTCCGAACATGAGCTACAGCGGCCGATTTGACCCTGCCTCGGAGGGGACGCGCAAGTTCGTCCAGGATCAGATGGATCACAACCCGAAGGCGTCGCCACGGCAAGCCGCCACGGGCGGCCGCCACCACACTGTGGGCTACAACGAGGTCATGGTGCAGGCCGGGACGCCGATGATGCTCTTCGAGGAGATGCAGAGGCAGGGCGCCCAAGGCCCAGAGAAGGTCAGCCAGCTGCGGCTCTGGCAGTGCAGGACGAACGGCGTCGCGGCCTTTGCGCGCGTGCAGCCGCCCCCTGCGGACCTCCTGGACGACAGCGTGCGGCAGGTCGAGAACTGCCGGCACGAGGTCTTTCGCAAGATGCGGGACGGCTACGACCGCGCTTGCGGGCGTACGGAGCCCACACCGATCCTGTTCTTCGATGTGAGCGCCTGGCACGAGCCCTTCTCGGCCCGACCGATGAGCCATCTTTTCCCTGGCCAGGGGCAGTGCGACGGCACAGCGGCCACGCCGCAGCGGTGAGTGCACGCCAAATCCATGCCACGGGCAGTGCCACAGAGGACTTGCATGTACACGTGACACACGTCAGAGCCCCGAATCATCAGGGGTAACTCGGGTCAGGGATAACTCGGGTTCGTTTTTCGGGAATCCAAACCCGAGTTACCCCGGACCCGAGTTACCCCGGATAACTCGGGCGCCCAGAGCCCCGAATTATCAGGGGTAACTCGGGTCAGGGCTAACTCGGGTTCCTTTTTTTTCGGGAAACCAAGCCCGAGTTACCCCGGACCCGAGTTACCCCGGATAACTCGGGCGCCCAAACACGAGATGCCATCACACGGGTGTGCAGTGAGCTCTGGTGCGGGCTTGCACAAGGCCCCCCAAGACGGGCCTGCGCGCATGTATTTGGCCCTCCGCAGGCTCCCGCACGCCCCGCGCCACAGGTCACTCCTGCCCAGGACCACGCCAGTCATCAGCTGACAACCAGCACGTGCGACGTCCAAATCTATTGGGTGGAATTCGCGCGGTGCGGTGGCTGAGTGTATGTGTGTGTGTTGTCGGATGGAGATCCCGCTCGAACGGGAGCCCCACTCGCGGTCCGTCAACTCGCGCCCCTACCTGTCGCGCCCTCGTCGCCTTGCCCATTCCCACTCCTCCTCGTCCTCCCCCTCTCGAAGGAGAACAACTGTATAACAACATGAACGTTCGACGGTCCGCGGCGCTCCCCTGGCGGCGCCTCTGGCGCTGCCCCCTGCGCGCCCCGCGCGCCACAGCGAGTGGTGTCCGGCGCAGGTCCAAGAAATCCGCTCGGACCGTCGAAAGGTTATGTCTCTGCAGTTGTTTCTCCTTCTATCCTCCTTCACGTTCGACCCTGTGCTGTTCTTTCCTCACCTTGCGCGTGTCGCAGGCTCCGCCGCCAGCTCCTCCCCTTCAGCTTCGCAGCTGCTGTCTGAGTGTGCCGGCCGGCCTGCGCCTGTTTTAGCTATATTCGCCCAGTTCGCGTCCCGGACTTTGCTTTTGCCGCCTGACCGTCGTCTCGCGGCCGCGACCGGAAAGAGTGTCGCCGGCTCGGCCTCCGCCGCCAGGAGCTCCCGGAGACGGACTGGTGCGTCGACCGCAACGCGCGGCCCTCGGCAGCGCTGTCGTGCCGGCCGGCTCCCTTTTGTCTCCACGGTCCCCCCCGTCCAGAGCCCCGTCCCTCCTCCGAGGAGGAGGGGGAGGGAGTCAGGAGGAGGGGGCGAGGACGAGGAGGAGGAGGATGGGGGGATCGGGAGGGAGAGGAGGAGGGGGAGGGGGAGAGGGAGGAGGAGGAGGAGGAGGAGGAGGAGGAGGAGGAGGAGGAGGATCGTCTCGGCTGTCGTTTAAGGCGCGGGTAAAGTGTTACCGTTTCGTGCCCTAACAAAAGGGAACATGACATGCTCAATTGCATGGCAATGTGCATGCTCTGCTGGTGTTCGTGCTCTCCCCTTTGCACTGTGCTCCTTTTTCTCCCGCGCACTATGCAATGTCTGCAACGTGCTACATGGCGTGTCACAACTGCATTGTTGGCAATGCTCAACAAGAGTGTCAACATGATGCTACCATTGTGACAAACACAACTACCAGGATAGCCACTTCACATGTGCTCCGCGAGGTCCTCCAGCCCCGCGAAATATGCGCGGCGACACGCCCTTTCAGAGGCTCCCAGGCTCACGATAGCCACCCTGGCGTGTTATCCCAGCGGGGACGGGATTCTACCACAAGCGGGCCCCCGTCCTCCATGCGCCCGGACAGGCAGCGGCTGTGTTTGGCAACGTGCCAGAATTCACCTGAATGCAACTCGATCGTGGCCGTTGCAATCACGACGCACCGGGTGCCCGGCGACCGCACACAGAACTCCGTACCAGGTAACGAATCTGGCGGGCTGTTGGCTGTCGACGTTTGTCCACTGTCTAGTGCGCCCTGCCTCTTGCTGCCAACTAGCCTAGTGGTCCCCAGCGCGGCCGTGCAGATAACGATGTGCCTGCCCTCACCGTCCGCCGTTGACAAGCTATCCTCTCTGGTGGGTCTCGTGTACGATAACGCGATCAGCGGATCTGGAAAATACAGCCCTTCCTATAAGGTAACAGTACGGCCTCCGCAGGAGTCTCCACGAACCTCCCCCCCCCCAATGGATTGACAATTCCTGCTTCATGGAAGCCCCGCCTGATTGGCAAAAACCACACCCCACACCTCTTGGGACACCTCTCGCCTGGGAGGGGGTGCCCAAATCTTTCTCTGGAGCGAGACGCCAACCTCCAGGAACGCATTTTCTAAAACCCCTATCGCACCACGCGTGTCCCAAGAGGTGTGGGGTCTGTTTTTTTCCCATACAGATGGCTTTCTCTTCCTCGACCACCTCCTCCTGGCTGCCCCGCCCCCTCAGGCACATCGTTCCGACTTGCTCTCGGGCTGCTGCCCGTGCTGCCAGATCCGCTGCTGCACCTGCTGCTGCAAACGCTGCCCTGGACGCCGACAGAACCATCAAGCACACAGCTCGCCCTGCAGCACTGCGCAGCAGCAGGCGCACACTCAATATTCTGGCACTCGTGGACGGTAGTCCACAGGTCAGCCCTAGTTATATCCCAAAGTTTATCCTTTTACTTACGCTGACGCCTGTCCCCCCACTAATAAGTGGCAGTGCATCTCCCCCCCCCATCCCCCTCAGGGTTGTGATGCCGGCTCACCCCCGTCACCCAATGCCCCTCCAAGTGGGATCTACTACTAAGCCGTGCCCCGACTGCTATTACTCGGGTATTCTGTAGTCTACCTACGGATGCCAACCAGGCGAAACACGCACTACTACTGTGAAGTCCGTTATATGGAATGCGCCGCCGTCCTCCTTCTGGAGGGGGGCCGCCCCACGACTGTGAAGCCCGCTTAACTACCCTACTCTCATCCTCCCTTAACAGGAGGGCCGCCCCACGACTGTGAAGCCCGCTTAACTACCCTACTCTCATCCTCCCTCACCAGGAGGGCCGCCCCACGACTGTGAAGCCTTATTATATCCCAAATCTTATCCTTTTACTTACGCTGACGCCTGCCCCCCCCCGCCAACATTCAGGCTCTGCTGTGCTGGATCGTGCTTCACATAATATGGAATGCGCCACCGTCCTCCTTCTGGAGGGGGGCCGCCCCACGACTGTGAAGCCCGTTTAACTATTCTACTCTCATCCTCCCTCAACAGGAGGGCTGCCCCACGACTGCGAAGCCCTATTAAACCCCACTCTCATCCTCCCTCAACAGGAGGGCCGCCCCACGACTGTGAAGCCCTAACATTGCTTATCCCTTTACCTCTACGGTCACGTGTATCCCCGCGACTATGACACTGCCACCTATCCGTTCCACTTCGATCTCTCCCCCTCATCTCCGATTTGCATGGGGCATCCTCCAATGCGCGGGGACTGCGTGTCCCATAACAGGGGCTGTGCGTCCCAATTGCCAGGGATGTGTGCCTCATAGCAGAGACTGCGCGTCCCAGTTGCCAGGACTGCGTGTCCCATAACAGGGACTGTGCGTCCCATTTGCCAGGACTGCGTGTCCCATAACAGAGACTTTGCGTCCCAGTTGCCAGGACTGTGTGTCCCATAATCGAGACTGCGCGCCCCATTTGCCAGGAATGTGTGTCCCATAGCAGGGACTGCGCGTCCCATTTGCCAGGACTGCGTGTCCCATAACAGGGACTGTGCGTCCCATTTGCCAGGACTGTGTGTCCCATAATCGAGACTGCGCGTCCCAATTGCCAGGAATGTGTGTCCCATAGCAGGGACTGCGCGTCCCATTTGCCAAGACTGCGTGTCCCATAACAGGGACTGTGCGTCCCATTTGCCAGGACTGTGTGTCCCATAATCGAGACTGCGCGTCCCATTTGCCAGGACTGTGTGTCCCATAGCAGGGGCTGCGCGCCCCATTTGCCAGGAATGTGTGTCCCATAGCAAGGACTGCGCGTCCTATTTGCCAGGAGTGTGCGTCCCAGAATCGAGACTGCGCGTCCCATTTGCCAGGAATGTGTGTCCCACAGCAGGGACTGCGCGTCCCATTTGCCAGGACTGCGTGTCCCATAACGGGGACTGTGCGTCCCATTTGCCAGGGCTGTGTGTCCCATAATCGAGACTGCGCGTCCCAATTGCCAGGAATGTGTGTCCCATAGCAGGGACTGCGCGTCCCATTTGCCAGGACTGCGTGTCCCATAACAGGGGCTGTGCGTTCCATTTGCCAGGACTGTGTGTCCCGTAATCGAGACTGCGCGCCCCGTGTGCCAGGAATGTGTGTTCCATAGCAGGGGTTGCGCGTCCCATTTGCCAGGACTGCGTGTCCCATAACAGGGACTGCGCGTCCCCTGTGCCAGGACTGTGTGTCCCATAATCGAGACTGCGCGTCCCATTTGCCAGGAATGTGTGTCCCATAGCAGGGACTGCGCGTCCCATTTGCCAGGACTGCGTGTCCCATAACAGGGACTGCGCGTCCCATTTGCCAGGACTGTGTGTCCCATAATCGAGACTGCGCGTCCCATTCGCCAGGAATGTGTGTCCCATAGCAGGGACTGCGCGGTCCATTTGCCAGGACTGCGTGTCCCATAACAGGGACTGTGCGTCCCCTGTGCCAGGACTGTGTGCCCCATAATCGAGACTGCGCGTCCCAATTGCCAGGAATGTGTGTCCCATCGCAGGGACTGCGCGTCCCATTTGCCAAGACTGCGTGTCCCATGACAGGGACTGTGCGTCCCATTTGCCAGGACTGTGTGGCCCATAATCGAGACTGCGTGTCCCATGTAATTAATCAGGGCTGCGTGTCCCATAGCCCGTAGCTGGGACTGCGTGTGCCATGCGCCTGCCCTCTGGGAGGACCGCCCCATCGGCCATAGGCCATGGGGCATAAGGGCTGGAAGGCTGGAATGCGGGTCGCATAGCATCACATCGCAACCGCATCGCATTGTGCTTTGGTATCAATTATGGCTTGCGCACGAACAACATGGCAACTACTGCGCCTACCTTACTACTCCCCTCTGTGTCAAATGGGAACCCTACATGATGCATACGGTCTCCGTTGCTTCTCTACCCCCCTGGCGTGGCTGGGGACTGGCATTCGCCCCAGCCCACGCTCTGATTCTAGCCCTTCCCTAACCCCCTCAGGCGGTTACTCCTTGTGCTGGGAGGGCACTTGAACGTGCCTCTTGTCACTGTCGCCCCGCTGTTCACTCCCCTGGGGGCTCTGCTGGGGTGCTCGTCGAGCGTGGGGAATAATCCACGCCCTTAGTGGCGCCCCGTGCGTCCCCAGCCGACTCCCCCAGAGGAGTATAGAACAGCATTGGCACGGGGAGGAGGAGGAGGAGGAGGAGGAGGAGGAGGAGGAGGAGGAGGAGGAGGAGGATGAGGAGGAGGAGGAGGAGGAGGCGGAGGCGGAGGAGGCGGAGGGGGAGAGTGAGGAGAGGTGCTGTAGGCCGCATCGAAGGCCATGAAGGCGAAGAGGAGGAGTTGGAGGAGGAGGAGGAGGAGGAGGAGGAGGAGCAGGAGGAGGGGGAGGAGGAAGAGGAGAAGGAGCAGCTGTTGTCCAGTTTCTGTGCTCATGTTTTGAATTAGGAGATGAAGAGGAGCAGCAGGGAGCAAGAGTTCAGAAGGAGAAGGGAGGAGGATGAGCATGCGGGGGGAGGAGAGAACGTCCCTCCCCCTGGCCTTACCTCCTCTCCCCCTTGCTGCCACGCCCCCCTCCCTCCGCTTCTATTCCCCCCGGCTCCGCCCTCCTTCCTTCGGCCTCCCTCAAGCTGCATAATTGGAACGTTGGCTCAGCGTGTCGCGTCACCCGTTCTGGCCCATCACACGTCGGCGCGACACACTGACCACGTCCCAGCCCCCGAGCCTCCACGACCCGAGCCTTTTCCGGCTTCCCGCCGCGCGGCGCACAGCACACTGTCCGCTTGCAGGGCACAGCGCGTCGCCTTGGCCGCCGCCGCGATGCGTTGAGCAAAAGTTCCCAGCAGCAGGTGAAGAGGAGGAGGAGGAGGAGGATGAGGACGAGGAGGAGGAGGAGGAGGAGGAGGAGGAGAAGGCATTTGGCCCACGAGGAGGCTGAGGCTTAAGCGTGCCTGGAGAGGCCGCGACACTGA